TCAGTAGGGCTGCAGTGCACATGAGAGTGCTAATATCTCTTCAAGATCCTGTTTTCAATTCCTTTGGATAAATACTTAGAAGTGGAAATGCTGGATCATATGCTATTTCTATTTTTAATTTTTGAGGAACCTCCATACTGTTTTCCTTAGCAGCTGCATAATTTTGCATTCCCATTAACAATGTGAAAGGATTCCCTTTTTTTCACATCCTCACTAATACTTGTCATTTGTTTTTTTGAAAATAGCCATCCTAACAGGTGTGAGATAATATAATGGTTTTGATGTGCGTTTCACTGATGATTAATGATATTGAGTGTTTTTTCATATATCTGTTGGCCATTTGTATATCTTCTTAGGATAAATAGCTGTTCAATTCTTTGCCCATTTTTTAATTGTTATTAGTTTTTTGCTAGAGTAATATGAGTTCGTTATATATTTTGGATAAAACCCCTTATCGGATATATAGGGTATTTTCTCCCATTCCATAGGTTGCTGTTTACCCTTTCGGTGTTTCCTTTGCTATGCAGAAGCTTTTTACTTTGATGTAATCTCACCTGTCTTATATCTGATAAGAGATTAATATCAAAATAAGAGATAACAAGTGTTGGTGAGGATGTGGAGGAAAGGGAACCCTTGTGCACTGTTGGTGGGAATGAAATTGGTGCAGCCGCTATTGAAAACAGTATGGAGGCTCCTCAAAAAATTTAAAATTGAACTACCATGTGATCTAGTAATCCCACTTCTGGGTATATATCCAAAGGAAATGAAAACAGAATATTGAAGAGATTATCTGTGCTTCTATGTTTATTGCAGCATTATTCATAATAGCCAAGGTATGGAAATAACCTAAGTGTCTGTCAACAGATGAATGGATAAAGAAGATGCGCTACATATATATACAATGGAGTATTACTCAGCTATGAGAAAAAGGAAATCCTGCCATAGGACATAGATGGACCTTGAGGGCATTATGCTAAGTGACATAAGTCAGACAGAAAGACAAATACTGTATTATATCATGGGATATAATATTAGTATCACGTATTAGTATTTAGTTTGGAATCTAAAAAAACCGAACTTATAGAAACAGAGAGTTGAATGGTGGCTACCAGGGCCTGAGGAGTGTGGGAAGTAGGAAGATATTGGACAAAGGGTACAAACTTGCAACTAGAAGATGAATAAGTTCTGGTGATGTATCACATAGCATAATGATTGTAGTTAATGTTATTGTTTTATATACGTGAACATTGGTAAGAAAGTAGATCTTAAATGTTCTCACCACAAAAATGAAATGAGAATTTCGTGACGTGATGAAGGTGTTAGCTAACACTGCAGTGGTAATAATACTGTAATATATGTGTATCAAATCAACAGATTGTATACCTTAAACTTACACAATGTTTTAAGTCAAGTATATCTCAATAAAGCTGAAAAAAAAATAACAGAGGGATCCTTGGTAGAGACTCTAAGCTTAATAAAAGGGACAAATTTCTTAAATCCAGTAAAGTTCTGATTATCCATTAGCTGGAATTTTAGTTGGAACCACTTTATGCCTTCCCCATCCATTTTGCGGGAGGAGGTAGGTAGTAAGCTATTTACGCTGGGAGAAGAAAAAATGACAGGAATTTTGAGAGTAAGATATTAGCACCAAACTCCCAAATTCTGGGTAGTTGATCTATAGAACATACTTATAACAATTTATGCATTCTTTGACTCTGAGATTCTATGACCTTGCCTGAGCTTACTTTATGAGACACTTGATAATGTGCTGAAATGAAGTTTGCAGAGATATTCGTGTCCTTGCCTTTTTTTCCACACCACCAGCAAATAAGTTTCTTTAGGGTGGAGATAGCATTGGCCCTCTAGTATCCATTGAACGGATTTGAATTTATAGCATCGTTTCTAAGAACACTATACTTTAAGCTCCAAGCAATTAAGTTATAAGCAAAGTTCTGGGAAACTATATTCAGGTAAATTGGTTATTACTTGAAAGTATTACCATCTTCAACTGGCACCTCTTGAAATAAAAATCTCTTTGGAATTCTTGAATGAATTATCCATTGTTGTTTTACTTATACAACAAATTCATAACCTGGTTACCACTAAATGTTAAATTGCATGAGACTTTTCAAAGGCCCAAAGAAAAGAATTCCTGGGCCCAGTCATAATTATTATTGTGAGTGCAGTCCTCTAAAATAAATGTTAATACTGTAATTCACAGTAGAGCTGTACAATTTTTAATGAAATAAAGTACAACCAAAATAAAATGTCATATAGTTAGAATCATAGGTTGTGTCACATTTTCAGACTGACTTCTTTTACTTAGGCATATGTATTTTAGGTTCCTCCATGTCTTTTCATGACTTGATAGCTCATTTCTTTTTATTGATGAATAATATTCCATTGTCTGGATGTACCACAGTTTGTTTATCCATTCAACTCTTGAAGGACATCATGGCTGCTTCTAGTCTTTGGTGATTCCCTAAACATTCATGTGAAGGTTTTGAGTGGGCATAAGATTTCAGCTCAATTGGGTAAATACCCAGGAGTGTGATTGTTGGATTGTATGTTAAGACTGTGTTTAGTTTTGTAAGAAATTGCCGATTTTGTCAGGTTTTTGGATTTCAGCCATTCTATTAAGTGTGTAGCGGTATCTCCTTGTTCTAATTTACAGTTCCTAGTGTAGTATTGGGTTTAGCATCTTTACATGTGCTTATTTGCTCTCTGTAGATCTTCTTTGGTTAGGTTATTTGTTCACATCTCTTGACCTTTTTTTTTTTTTTTTTTTTTTTTTTGCGGTACGCGGGCCTCTCAATGTTGTGGCCTCTCCCGTTGTGGAGCACAGGCTCCGGACGCACAGGCTCAGCGGCCATGGCTCACGGGCCCAGCCGCTCCACAGTATGTGGGATCCTCCCGGACCGGGGCACGAACCCATGTCCCCTGCATCGGCAGGAGGACTCTCAACCACTGCGCCACCCTTTTTGATGCAGTGGTTGCCCTTTCTGACCATTTTTAAATTGGGTTATTTGTTTTCTTATTTATGAGTTTTAAGAGTTCTTAGTACATTTGACATACCAAACCTTTATCAGATATGGGTTATGCAAAGATTTTCTCACAGTCCCTGGCTTGTCTTTAGTTTTCTTAATAGTGTCTTTCGTGGAGCTGGGGTTTTTAATTTTAAGGAAGTTCAGTTTATCAGTTTTTTTCTTTCATGGATCATGCTTTTGATGTCGTAGCTAAAAACTCATCCTCAAATAAGATCACCTTGATTTTCTCCTATATTATATTTTAGAAGTTTTTTAGTCTGTGTTCTACATTTAGCTCTAAGATACACTTGAGTCAGTTTTTTGAAAGGTGTAAGAGCTAGGTCTAGATTTATTTTTTTTTAATGCATGCGTGTCCAAGTCTTCCAGCGCTATTTGTTGAAAAGACTGTCATTTCTCCATTTTGTGCAGTTGTCAAAGCTCAGTTGCCTATAATTGTGTGGATCTGTTTCTAGACCCTCTATTTTATCCCTTTGATTAATTTGTCTATTTTTTTCTCCAGTACCATGCTGTCTTGATTACTGCAGCTTTGTAGTAAGTCTTAAAGTCAGTTAGTCTCAGACCCTTTTTAAGAGTTTTCTCTTTGCCTTTGGTTATAAGCAGTTTTTACTATGACATGCCTATGTGTGGTTGGGTTTTGTTTGTTTTAATTTATCCCTTGCTGGGGGCTACTAATACTTTATGAATCAGTGCTTGATTCTTTTTCTATAGATTCTGGGGACTTCTCAGGTATAATGTCTTTAAGTATAGATTTTACTTAATTCCCTCAGCCCTTTCTGAGATGTAAAGTATGACCTTTATACTATATGCTCTACATCTCTTATGTTCTTTCATATGTTGTTCATCCCTTTGTCATTTTATACTTTCTTCTGACCTATCTTCCAATTTATCACTTCTTTGCTTGGGTGTGTTCAACCTGCTTAAACCCATTTTTGACTTCTTATTATTGATTATTGTAATATTTAGTTGTATATTTTTAATTCGGTTCTTTATTTAATGGCTTTCAGTACCCTCCTGGAATTTTCAATCTTATCTGTTATTTCTGTGCATATGTCAAACATAAAGTCTATGTCTGATGATGCCAGACATGTTTTTGCATGGTTTCTGAGCTAAGAGTAGTTTTTACATTTTTATAGTAGAAGAAGAAGGAGAGTATACAATTGAGACTGTACGTGGCTTACAAGTCTTAACCTATTTATTATCTGGCTTTTTACATAAAAAGTTTGCTGACCCCTGAACTAGATTGAGATTCTTCATAGATCTGTTTCTGTTGTCTTAGTGATAATGTCTTATCTCCTCCTATATCTGATTAGTTTTGATGTGGTATTATACATTGTACCTGAACAATTGTACAGTTAATTTGAGACTAAGATATTAACTTCTTCCAGAGAAAATTAAATTTGTTTCCAGCAGGCAAACACAGGGACTAACAATCTTTAATCTCCCTCATGCAATCAGAGAATGAGATAATTCAAAAGTGGGCTTCAGTATTTTGGAGCACTGCTTTGATTTCTGGTTCTCTCTTATAGTATAACCCTTTGAAGTCCCAAACCAAAGCTTGGGGACTTAGCAGAGATCTCATTCTTGGGGTTACCTGACAGCTAAGTGTGTGGAAATCTCTCAACTGCCTCTCAGCTAGCAGGCATCTGCTTCTGTTAGAATTGGCAGAAGAAGAAAAGTGACCCAAAATGTCATGCTCATCTCTGTAGATTTCCACCTTTTCTCTGGTCTTAGCTTCCTAATTCTTTTTTTGCTGTATTAGTAAGCTGTGGCTTTCATACAGGTACTTTTATTATTTTTTCGAGCTCTTCTAGTTCTCAGTGAGAAGGTTGGTTCACATTACTTTGACAATCATTATTGGAAATATAACTCTCCTCTTATATTTACTTTGCTTATGAATAGTGAAATACTTTTCTACATTTTTTCACTTCTGCTTTTTTTATATTTTTATTTCAGATAGCCTCATTATTTCCCTTGTATGTTGTGGGGTACATTGAGCCAAAAAAATTTCAGAAGATCATCTATATGAACATGGTGACAGTTTTTTGAATATTTTTATTGGAGTATAATTGCTTTACAATGTTTTATTAGTTTCTGCTGTACACCTGGTAACATTTTTAATATTTATAAGTCATATATTAAAATAAGATCTCAGGGTTTATAAAATAGAACTGACTGTTTTATATACCTCCTCTCTAGTATTTAATACATATGATGTTGCTAATATTTAGAAGGATAACTGAATGCCATATTATAGCAACTATACTTTCAACTAGACTGTAGATGTTTTGTATTCTCTGAAACTTTAAAAAAATTTTTGTTTTTTTATTATTATTGTCACTACTTTTGTAACTGCCTTTTCTCCCTGAGACCTGAGATTTTTAACACTTTGCATGAATATGACACTCTGTGAAATTTATGTTTTTGCATTATTGTTTTTTTATATTAGTTTCCAAACACATATCCCTTAAGAAAATAAAAATCTTTTAGGTAAGAACATAAAATAAAGCTTCCTTAGTGAGGAAAATCCTCAAGTAGTTCAACAAAAATCAGATTAGAAAACTAATAGTTATAAGTAAGTCTTTCTTATTATATCCCTCCATTATTGAGTTAATAGAAACAATAAGATTTTTCCTGTTTTCTTTGTACCAAGTTGAAAATAGGGGAAAAAAATTAAATTCTGCTATATAGTATTTATGGTGTTGAAAATACTTAGAACCTATCAGTGTGTTGAAATTCTGTTATCACTTGGTCAGGATCTATTTATTAATCTTTTTTATGCAAATAAAGTTTGTATTGGAAATGAGTATATCCCTGTAGACAAAGTATGCATTATGCTATCTATCTAATAACTATAAAATGTATTTATTTTCTGCAATTTTCAGGTTTCGGTTCTCCTTTGTTTTGTATTGATGTTTGGAAATCCAATGTATTTATCTTCTTATTATTCTTCGTCTCTATTGATGACATTGGTAAGTGTTTGTTAAGCTTGTGAAGATTTTCTTTAACCTGTCAAATAGCAAGTTTACCCATTTAATATAGGTTAAGGAGAATAAATAAGGCCCTTTCTGGATTACTGCCCACATGAAAAATTTTTCCCAGATAATGCTTTTTGTCTGTCTAATCCTTGCAAAATAATATAAGCAAAGTTTACCTTTTTAAGGCAATGCGCAAGTAAAATTTTTTTAAAATAATAAGGTAATAAGACTTACTTTTTAAAATATGCAATAATTTATGATAAAAATTAGTTATTTCCTTCTAAGTCACTTCAGTAGGCTAAATACTTACTGCAGTGACACTGCCATTGCCCAAAACATTTTTGGAACTCCTCTGAATTGCCTTCACAGACTATGGCACATTCTTTTGAATGTCCTCAGTGGTGGCAAATTTTTGTCTTTTAAGGGTGGATTTGATTTTTGGAAATGACCAAAGTCTTGTGAATAAGGTGGGTGATTGGGCTGGGTAATACAGATCTTGATCAAAATATAGTGTGACAACAAAGTAATAAGACCTATTTTCTTGCACGCATAAGGAAGTAATCTCTAAAGATAGTTTATAAAGAGGAGTTCCAAACTGTTTTGAGCAGTGGCAACATAATTATAATAAGGGTGTAGTTTCTTCATGTGACTTACTTTCATGGAATAACACTCATTTAGAGTTGTATTTGGAATGGTGGTTCAGTAAATCAGTTTTATTACCTTATAGTCACACTTCCGATATTCATAAGCCAGAACCTGGAATGTTCTCCACTGGAATGTTCCTAGAATGTTCTCTTTCCACAATGACCAGAAATGATACCTTACTACAAAAATACCAAAATATAGCACTTTTCCATGTATGGTGCGTTGATTGAATCTTTTGAGATTTAGGTTTTTAACATTTTTTCTCCCCATACCTTTTTTTTTTTTTTTTTTTGCCTCCCAGTAAGTAATTTCTCCTCTTTATCTCTCCCAAAAGGCATAGGCCCTTTCTTTTCAACATTTTTTCACACTTTTTCAGTATTACAAAGTAGATGACTTGTAATAGTGTGTTCATCAACATCTTTCTATGAAAACATTTTTATTCTAAAATATAGCACAGATGTAGAAAACCTCATAAAACCAATGTTTTATGTACTTAGTTCTGACTAGTACTGATAAGTACTGATTAATGGACTGTTACTTGGCAAACATCCTTAAACTACCGTCAAGTCAAAACCAGAACTTTTCTAACCATTCTAGAAGCCTTCCATGTAACCTGCCTCAATCATAACTCCCTTGAGCTGCTCTAAAACAGTAGTGACTATCTTGACTATGGTGATCACTCCAGGCTTTTCTTTATAGTTTTATCACTTAAGTTTCTATTATTATCTATAGGTTTCCAATATGTCTCCCTGCTTTTTTCCCCGGGATATTTTTTTTTATCTGGGTCACTGAACATGTGAAGGGTTCTGTGGTCTAGATTTTGCTCCTGAGTCCTCATGGTGCCGCTTTACATCTTCTTTTGTCTTCTGTATTTATATTAATACTTGGGTCTAAAACCTGGACGTGTTCAGATTTAATTCCTTTGGCAAGTATATAGTATTGTTCTTCAGTCAGGAGGCACATATTTATCTGGTGCCTCTCTTTTTATGATCAGCATTTAGTACCAGATCCATTAATTCAGTAGGGATTGCAAAATGATGATATTCCAATCCCTCCTTTACAGTTCACATTTCATATAGGAAAAGTAAAGCACATTTCTAAATGGGGGGAGTTGGGAGGAAGTAGAAAAATATTTGAAGAAATAATGACCAAAAATTTTCCAAATTTGATGAAAATTATAATCTCAGAGATGAAGAATAACAGTAAATCTCAAATACAAAAAACATAGAGCTAGAGTAAGCATATTATCAAATTGTTTAAGATCAGCAATAAAGAGAAAATCTTCGGAGTAGCAATAGAATTAAGACATGTTAAATACAGAAGAACAAAGAGTAAGGATGTCAGCAGATTTTTCATAAGAAAAAAGTGCAAGCAACAAAACAGTCAAGAAGCATCTTTAAAATATTTAAAAATACTATCTATAATTCTATATCCAGCAAACATGTCTTTCAAAAATGCAGGCAAAATAAAGACTTTATGACCTTTATGTTAAAGGAGGTCCTTCAGATGAAAGGAATATAATATTAGATGTCAGTCTGGCTCACACAAATGAAGGGCCCTGGAAATGGTAGCTAAAGGTTTTCCTACCATCTGTGACAGAATGGATAGACCTTGAGGGCATAATTATGTGACATAAGTCAGAGAAAGACAAATACTATCTTTTCATTTGTGTCTTCTTTAATTTCTTTCAGCAATGTATTCAGTGTGTAAGTCTTTCACCTCTTTGGTTATGTTTATTCTTAATATTTTCTTTTTGAGACTATTGTAAGTGGGATTGTTTTCTTAATTTCCTTTTTAGATAGTTCATTGTTAGTGTATAGAAATGCAACATAGTTTCTTTGTTGAGTTTGTATCCTGCTACTTTGCAGAACTTGTTTATTCTAACAGTTTATGTGTGTGGGTGTATGTAGAATCTTTAATGTTTTCTACATATAAGATCATGCCATCTGTGAACAAAGATAATTTTACATTTTCCTCCTCAATTTTTCTGGTTTACCCATTTAGTTGTTTTCTTTTTTGCACTAATAAATATTACATGTATATTTTATTATACCCCCTCCTACTTACATGAAAGGTAGCATACTATAGTCTTTTGCATTTTGATTTATCAACCTATTCTGGGTATCACTTAGCAACCTTTCATAGATATCACTCCATATCAGTTCACGGAGATCTTCATTCTTTCTTGTAATTTCATAGTAAGTATTCCCTTCTGCATATTCCATAGATAATTCAACCATTCTCCTAAGTCTGGGCATTTTGTTTATTTCTTGTATTTTGCATTTACAAACAATTTTGCATTGTGTAATCTGATACATTTATATTTTCCTATTGTTGGAACTTCAGGAATCCTGGCTCATCTTGGGCCAATTAGATGATGCAAAATTCTCCTCCAAATCTTAGTAATACACAGGCCTAAGATTTGTTTCTCATTGGAGCTTTTTGTTTTTCCAACACAAACTTGGGAATAAACAAATACCTTACCAACTTGTAGAGGTAGTAGGAGGAGTATTCCTAGTCCCTGCATGTCTTTGTCAGTTCAAACTGCTATAACAAAAATACCAGAATGGGTGGCTTACATGGAAATCTATTTCTTAACAGTTCTAGATGCTGGAAAGTCCGAGATCAAGGTGTCAGCTGATTTAGTTCTTGATGAGGGCTTTCTTCTTGACTTGCAGACAGATATCTTCATTGTATCCTTCCATGATGGAGAGAGCGATCATCTCTCTCATGTCTGTCCTTAGAAAGGCACTAATCCCATTTATGAGATTCCCACCCTCATGATCTAATTACCTCACAAAGGGTCCCTCCTCTAAATATGTCACATTGGAGCTTAGGGTTTCAACACAGGATCGGTGGAGGGACGTAAACATTCAGTTGATAGCACCAAGGGTATAGTTTTTGAGGACCCCAGCTCTATGCATGAGTCTTAATTCCAGTTTCTTACCTTTCATAGTCCCAAGTCTTCTGCCCTCCCTTTTAATACAAGCCCATAGTTGTAACCCTGTTCTACAGACCTCCTTAAAAGCTGCCAACTCCTTAAAAACTCTCCTAATTAATGTTTTACTTTTTAAAAATCACCTTCTTTTCTCTGGCACCTGGAAAGTTCCTTTTCTTTCTTATAAATTCAGTTAGATATATATATATTTTTAAACATTTAAAAATATTTGTGGGTTTGGAGAGGAAGGATTTTCATGTTAATTTAGACCACTAATTTTTCTGGATAACTTACATGTATGCTTGCATGGACATACCTTTCACACACCATCTATCTCCTCAGAGGAACTGCCCTGCATAAAACGTCCCAAGTAACTCAGTAAGGAATTAACTTGATTCTAGGGTCAACTTTCTGGTACACAAAGCATTTGGCTTTCACCCCAAGGAAATTTTCCATGTCCAAATTCAGAAAAATCAACAATTAAGAAGGAAAATGTCTGGTGATAGCCAAGATGGAAGGGAGTGGCTGTGTAATTTTTGAAATGTAATTTTAAAAAAGTTAATTTAATTGTGTTATTTTATGTCATATGCATTTTAGGTGATAATTCTATGGAGAAATAAAATTCAAAGATTGGGTGCATCTGAACTCCACTTTTGGGTAAGGTTCAACATTTTTAACACAATTTCTTCAAATCCTTTTTTATTTCTATAAACTGAATACAGATAATATGCTTTAAAAATGAATGATTTATAGTTAGTAAATGTTATAAATAGCTACTTACATAAGGTGGGAAACACTCCTTAGCAATATCTACAAGTCATTTTCAAGAAGTTAGTTCATTTATTTCAGCACTACCCTCAGGCCTTTCTTCTTTACTTTTCCTTCTGCTGTACCCTACTACCTTGCTTTTAATTTTTTTTTCTATTTGCTTTGAGTTTCTTTCTTTAGATTTACTAACCTTCTCTTCAAAATAACTCAGTCCGTAGTTCTGTCCCCACTTTCCCTTTTTCTGTTCTCTACATTTATCCATCATCTATCTTTCCTTTGGCTTCCAACTTTAGACTCTTATTATTTTTGTCCTTTTAACATTTTCCCTACAATCTCCCAGTTCCTTTTTATTTCAACTCAGCCACTACCTGATCTTTGTTTGACTTCTTTGCAGATGTACAAATGGATGGCCCATGTTATCTCTGTATTTGTATGTTATGTTACAAAGTAAAATAAGTACCTTATTAAGTAGGCACTGCAGTGACTAATTCTCGTAATATCAGACAGATGACATTCTTTTTCTCTAGGTCTTTAATGTACTCCTACTAAAAAATAAAATCTACCATATTAAAGAACTCTGTGATTACATATTATATATTGGTATGGTAAAACTGGAAATGATAAGAGGGTAGATAGCCACTCAGAATATAAACAAACAAAATGGAATGAGTTGCCAGTTTCTTATTGCTGGAAGCATTCTCCCATCCCCTATGGTGAAAATACACTTGTTATTGAATGATATGACCGTTCTAATATTTGATTCTTTTTCTTCAGAAAAATTGGCAAAGCTTGTTTTTTTAAAGATTAAACCAAGAAATCAACAGAAAATTTAAAGATTTTTATTTAATAATTTAACTCAAAAGGAAGTCAAAATTTTAATTACAAATTACTGAAAAATGACAACAAATAGAGCAGTATCTGTGGATGTTTAGGGAATTCTGCCAAAGTTGTGTTAGAGGAAATTTTATTGTCTTAAATATTTTCAGTTTTAGACTGCAAAGAATAAAAAGCTTTCAAGTCAAGAATTTCAAAGAAACAAAAATCTAAGGAGAGAACAGTTAAGATATAATGAATGTTCAGCTTATACTTATGTTTTAAAACTGATATAATTAATACCATCAATCTCTTGCAAAAGGGAGAAATTAGTCATGGTAGTCATCTGAACAACACAGAAAACATTCTGGCTTTTTATGTCTTTTTTCTGGAAGACCGTCAAAAAGAAATAGCAAAGCTATTTTGTAAAATAGCACTTTTTCTTACAAAAACCCCTGTTTTTATAGGAAAAAGGGATAATCCATTCTTGTCAAATTGGGTTCATCCCAGGAATGCAAAGATGTTTCTGGAAAATTTATAAATGTAAATTGTCACACTAGCAAATTAAAGGCGAAAAATACTTTATTATCATCTCATTAGATGCAGAAAATAAATTTCATAAAATTAAACACCCATTTATGATAAAAACTCTTAGCACAGAAGAAATAGCAGGGAGTTTACTTAACCCAATAAAATTCTTCAGCAGTCATTGGTTTTGCAGGAGAGATATTTGGAGTATTCCATTTATGAAGATCAAGATAAATATGTTTTTTCACATTTTATTAAAGGTTCAAACATGTAAAAGCAAGAAAGTAAATAACAGGATTAGAAAAGAAATGGAAAGAAAAATCAAAGTTTATTATATCATTATTTACATGTAAAACAAAATAATTATAAGAAATTATAAAAATTCAATAACATGGCTAGGTATAAGATTAATATTCAAAAGTTAATTGCATTTCTGTTCTTTGGCAACAAGCAAAAAACATATTTTTGAAAATATGCTATATATATTAGGGAGAAAAAAGTACATAGTATCTGAATAAATCTAATATTTTTGAAATTTAAATTTTTTTTAAATGTGTAAAAACATTTATCATGTAATAAGGATAAGGAAAATTACAACTTGAATGAGAAAAGGCAATAAAGAGATGTTAACACTCAGATGAGTAAGATGTTGGGATTATTTGGCAAGAATTTTAAAGCAGTCATCATAAAAATACTTCAGTGAGCAATTATAAGTACTCTAGAAGCAAACAAAATATCACCAAAGAAATCAAAATTTTTTTTTTAAAAAAGGAATAACTTGGGAATTTTTTTTAAAAAATAACTTGAAAAATACTGTAACTGAAATAAAAAACTCAGTGAATTAGCTTCATAGAAGAATGAATATAACAAAGAAAGCTATCAATGTATTTGAAGATAGAAGAATAGAAATTACCCAATCTAAACAACAGAGGAAAAGTAACTGGAAAAAAATGATAGAGGCTTAGGGAAGTGTGGGACAATAACAGAAGATTTAATATTTGTATCGTGCAAGTTCCACAGGAGAGGAAAAAGAGAGTGGGGCTGAAAAAGTATTTGAAGAAGTAATGGCATAAAATAGATAGCTAGTGGGAAGCAGCCACATAGCACAGGGAGATCAGCTTGGTGCTTTGTGACCACCTAGAGGGGTGGGATAGGGAGGGTGGGAGGGAGGGAGATGCAAGAGGGAAGAGATATGGGGACATATGTATATGTATAACTGATTCACTTTGTTATAAAGCATAAACTAACACACCATTGTAAAGCAATTATACTCCAATAAAGATGTAAAAAAAAAAAAGAAGTAATGGCTGAGAACTTTCCAAATTTGGTAAAAGACGTAACTCTACAGAGTCAAGAAACTGAGTTAATTCTAGGTAGGATAAAGCCAACAAAATCCATGCCAAGACACATCATAATTCAACTTCTGCAAACGAAAGGCAAAGAAAAAGTCTTGAAAGCAGACAGAGGGAAATGATGCATTACGTTTAGGGCAAAACTGATTCGAATTTACAGCAGACTTCTCATCTGAAACTATGGGAGCCAGAAGGAGGTGGCACAACATTTGTCAAGTGCTGGAAAGAATTGTCGACCACAAGTTATATATCCAGTGAAAGTGTCTTTTAGGAATGAAGGGGAAAGTAAAACATATTCTCAGATGAAGGAAAACTAAGAATTTGTTGCTAGCAGAGCAACCCTTAAATAATGATTAATAGAAGTCCTTGAAACAGGAAGTAAATGATGAGAGAAGGAATGTTAGAACATCCAGAAGAAGTAAAGGACAACAAAATGGATGCACATAGGTCTAAATATAATAGACTGTTCTTCTCTTGAATATTTCCTTTCATGTGTTTTTGTTTATTTTGTTGTTCTTTGTCTAGATATTTGAGTCCAGCTTTTCATTTATTTCCTTTACTCTCATTTTTATTGATAAAAGTTTATGAGGCCATGAATTTTCTTCTGATCATTGCTTTACATGCATCCCTTAGTTTCTAATATGTAGTTTTCATAACCATATTTAAAAAAAATTTTTTTTGAGTTTGTATTTCCCTTTCACTCAAGACTTATTAATAGGAGGTTTAATTTCCAGGAGGAGGGCCTTTTGGTCTTCTGACTTCTATCTATTTTGTTTATTTTCTAGATAATTCAAGGAAGTGCTTGGTTTTGTGGGACAATCATTCTGAAATTTCTGACATCTAAAATTTTAGGTGTTTCATACCATGTAAGTACTTTCTGGTTAAAACATTAGAATTTATATACATATTTAGTTGGATGAAGACTTTGAAACCATCTATTTTTAAATGAAACCTCTTCATTTTATAGAGGTTAAGTGCCTTCTTCAAGGTCCCAAACTAGTTATTGGCAGAGTCAGTACTAATACCCTGCAGATCTTTTCAACCCACTAAGAAGAAAGTATATCAATGAATGGTGACTTAGCCTTCTAGGAAAAAAATATGTTAAGTAGTTGTTTATATTTTGGTTAAAATACAAATAGTTTGTTTAATAAGTTATTAATTCATTGTAAATGTTAACATATCAAGAGTCTGTACTCAGCTTTGCAATATAGAACTCAAGATCTCAATATAATTTAATTTATAATTATAGATTAAAATTAATATGTGATTTGATATTTTAAAAGTTTTTCTTGTATAAAGAGAATGATAAAAATTCTCTGTCTTTTCAACTTCTGGAAAATATATGGACCACATCCCTCATGCATGTTGTTTCTGTTTTAAGGCCTATACCTCAAATAATGGCCCTTTTCAAAGCAAAAGTTCCTATTTACTAGTTTGTTTTGGGAATAGAAAACAATGCATGATTTTAACTTTTGATTTTTCAGCACTCTCTGTTTGGATATGAGGATAGATGAGTGTATCATACAATAATCTACTCTGAAATTTACCTTATGTAGTACTTTCCAATTAGGACTCTGTCTAATGCTGAAATTGCTTCAACTTTAACAAGGGATTATAGATAGTTACTCTCTTAAAATGTCAAATGCTGTCACTATCCAGGAGAATTGAGTCTGCATACACATTCATGTTAAATAAAATTTCAAAATGTAAGGATTTATTTGCCATTTATTGTTAGATCTGCAGAGTGGTTTATTAGGTTTATTTGTTGTTCTTAAATTTTTATTCTGTAGGGGGTATACGTTTTATGGTAAATTTATTTAGGTCTCCTAAGTTATTTATTAAGTTGGTCTGTTATTTTCTTTCTTGCCTTGCTCCACATTGTCACCCAACTCTTTACAAATCCTAAGACACACACACACACACACACACACACACACACACACACACCTTGGTATTCTTAAGTGACTTCTGTGTGACAGCTGTGAGAAAGACTTGAAACTAAAGTGGCTTGGTTAAATTGTAATTAGTCACCAGGCCTATTCTAAATTAGAAAAATAAAGTTAGCTGTAAATTATCCTTGCTACTGGTAGATAAGGGGAATCATGAATAAATGAAAACCATAGATAATCATCAAAGTTGATATATAATAATTTATGTCCTTTTAAAGTAGTTTGAGTTAATGTTTTACATGCCAAATATTTTTCTTTATCTGGCCTTCTAAGAATGCAGTATAAAAATAATTGTCTCACCAAAGTAGGTAATAAATAATCAGTAGAAAATAGCTCTACATTGGATTTTGTTGGTGGTGTTTATTTTAAAGTTCTTTGAGATCAAGTAACTAAATCAAAGGAGTATGTATAGTTGTTGTAATTCTCTTGAAGAATAACTCTCATAGTTAATGGCTTGAATGTATGTCTGAAAAATTCAAGAAGCACCAAAAATTGTGCTCAATGTATGAGGCTTTGTGAAAATGACAGTGCATGGAAAATTTGTTCATGATTTACAATGTGTGGTGAAAGGAGTTAACTGAAATTGGTTTTTTCTTGATAAATGATCTGGTTATAAAATCTCATGATCAACTGCATGGTGGTTTGTGCCCAGCAAATGTTGATTTTAGCTCATTCTTTACATTATCACCTTCTCTGCTTGCTTTTTCTGAACTTCTTTTTCCTTTTCATTTCTCTTGCTATTTCTGTTTGTTTTCAATTTTCTTCATAATTCAGCGCATAATGTGATTCACTGTATTTTTTGTTTTTTTGGAGAGTCATCCATGTACCTTGGATTTATCTTCTCTGTAGACTTTGTTACTATTACATCAAACCAATTATTATTAACTATAATTATTTGTGTAATTTTAATTTGTTTTTATTTTCTTCCAGATTGGCCTGAGTGACCTTATTGCAGCCAGAATCTTAAGATATACAGATTTTGATACTTTAATTTACACCTGTGCTCCTGAATTTGACTTCATGGAAAAAACGGTATGAATGTTTCTTTTTTTCTCCTCTACAGGTATGATGGGTTCTTGCTCTTAAGTTTTCCCTTTAATCTGAAACTCAAAAGTTTTATTCAGAAACACCCAATTTACTTACTCTATCATTTTTTTACGGTAACTTTTGCTAATTATATGGCCTTCCTCACCTGGTTTCTTATGTGTAAAATCAGTAAACAATGGCCCCTACCAGGGCAAGTGCATAACATACTGTATGACCCATAGTCAATTACGGTTACTACAGTTCAATTACTTTTAATAATCTGGGTCAGTTGGAGGACCACTCAGGAAATATAAACCCAAATTCTTGTTTTTGTTTTTTAAAAATTCAGGTTTTTTTCACTTAATATCCCAAATATTACAAACTTTTAAAATAAGACATTGCCAAGAAAGATATACTACTAATCATCTATTATTCTCTTATCTATCCAATCAGTCATACATTTATTCAGAAACAATTATTGACCACTAATTATCTGTGAGGCAGTTTGTAGTCGGACTATGAAGAGTAAAATTACTTGATTCCTGCCTTTAAGAAATATATGATTTTGTTACATGGTAAATCACTCTTTATCACAATTCATGAGAATTATTTAGCTGTTGCTATTATTTTATTACTTATTCATACTTACAGTAATTACTTAATGTAACTTTCTTCATTGTTAGTTCTATAGTTTCACAAATGAAAATAATAGAATTTGCAGCCCAGGAAATGATAATCTAGGGCCCAGGGATCAGTAAACACACATTTTAAACTTACTATTATATAATATAAATAAAGCAAAGACAAAGTCAAAAGAAAGGAAAAAATAATATCCATAGCTAATTTTAATAGTTTTTATCATTAAAACTATTTGATATATTTGTGTAACTATTTTATATTTTTGATTCTTGTATTAGAACATGAAACTCAATAAATATATAGTCTGTTAATGACAAAGATATCTTTTACCTTTATGAAATCTTATTGTGACGCTCAAGTTGACATACATTTTTATTCATTTAATGTAAAATTTAATAAATAATTATTTTGAATAATTTGCTATATTTCAGACGCCACTGAGATACACAGAGACATTGTTGCTTCCAATCGTTATGGTGATTACTTATTTTATCTTTAAAAAGGTATTTAAAATTTTTTTCACTTGCTTTTGGGTTCACGACAAGGACTTAGATTAATGCTAATAGCTCAGAATTCTGTCTTACTTTTAGGATGAACTCTTCCTTCCCTAAAAAACTTTTTTTATTCAGATTTTTCTTTATCTAGTATTATGTGGGTTTTTTTCTGAAAGCCACATTAGAAAAGATATTTTTACTCATTCTTTCGAAAGAAATTTGTCAGTTACCATGTTCTAAGAACTACGTTAACAAAGTAGGTACACTGAGATAAATAAAACAAGCCCAGCCCTATCTTGAAACTCACAGTCTGAGCCAGGGGGAACATTCAGCAAATAATTTCCCAAATGATTAAATAATTGCAATTGTTATAGGTACTAAAAAAGAAAAGTACAATGACCACTTTGGTATCTTTCAAATATAAAGCACATTCAAAAAAGTCTTGATCCATTTTGAGACATGAATAGGAGAAATTTGTATAGCCATTAAAATATCATTCTCTACTGTTCACTGTGTTCACAAAAAACCAAAATGTTATCACAGTAGAAGAAATAATGTTTAAAATACCACTGGAAGATTTTCTTGGTCTGGGAGTAGTTTATCCAAAAGTCTGGTTAAAGACAGTGGGTCCTCAGTTTTTAGCAATTTTGAAGCATCTTTATTTTTATTGTTTAAAAGTTGTCCTGCCTTAAGTCAGTATGTATTTTATGCTTTTAAGCAGATAGCAATAACATGATTTCTCTACTGTCATACGAAGTGTGGTTCTGTTGAAGCCAGTGTTCTAAATTTAAAGTCAAATTGTCTATCTTCCCTATGTATTTCCAGTTCCCACATTTCTCATTCCTTTATTTTCACATAGAAGATGAATAATTTATGAGTGAGAAAGGCATCTCCCTGTACATCTCTGTTGTTTCACCCTTGATCCAGTTCTCTAGGGACCATGTGGAAAGAGTCAGGATAGATACAAATGGGTAAACTACACACAGGTTTGCTGCTTTCCATTGCTTTGGCCCTACTTAGCTCAAGTTGCATATTTTCTCCACTAGCCTATTTCTCTATTCCATCATGGCAATTTGTGTTATTCTTACAAGGCTCCACTTGGGGGGGGACTAATGCAAGAATTAACTGTTCAGAGGGGAGATATCTAGCACAGGAGAAAATGATAACTAGATCTACTATTAACTATTTTAAAAATAAAGATACAAGATCTAAGATTCATAAACATCATACTAGCCCCCAAACATACCACAGCTCAAACCGTGCACGTGCAGTAGCAGGCGCACTCACGCATGCGCGCACACACACACACACACACACACACACACATCCCTGCAGCCATTAAAGTTTAACTCCTTTCTGCATCCACATAAACACCTCAGTCTTTAATTGTCCTATTATGGCTTATTTTCCACCTCAAGGCTACTTCTGATGTTCATTTAACTTTTCACTTGTGTGAAACCACTTCTGAGAAGGAAAGGAGGAAGGCATGTCTAGTATGATTTCCTGTAACACTATTGAATCTTAGACTCGTATAAATGCATATATTCGGTTATCTATACCTTTGAATAGGCTTTTGCTTGCCCAAAAGACTGATAATCTCATTTTCATTATTTGAAACATTCGTCCATGCCGGATGCCCTTGAATCAATGAGAGAAGTTAAAAATTCTAAACTTAGATTTAATTTAACATTAGAGTCGAAATTTTATTATGTATTTTTTTCAATGTTTATCTGTGGGTTATAAGCCACATATCATGCAGAGTGCAAAATTTTAAGTTCCCCGTAAATTTCTTAAGTTGTGTGTAATTGCTGCTAAAACCTCTTTGGCCAAAGTTAGCTTCCACATTTTTTGCCTTCCCTCCTCCCCCTCTCATCATCATCTGGTACACCAGGGAAGTCCCATTTTGATAAGTGCTCTTAAGCCTTCTGTAGCAGTCACTTCAGACTGAGGTAGATCAGGGAAGCAGATACGCCATAGCTAATTTTATAATAATCAGGAGTTTGAGTGAAGCAGGCATATAGACTGTGTAGATAGAGAGAAATTCCTAATTCGCTTAGAAGGTCAAGATAAAATAGTCTCTGAAAGTACCTGGAGGAAGCTGCCTCCTTTGTGGAAACCAATCCCCCACAACCCTCCTGCCTCCCAGTAAAATATAAACTTAAACACTGGTAAGAAGTTATCCACATATAAAAAGCTTAGAATTTTAGAGCTGAAAGATTTACTCCAAAACTTTTTTTTTTAATAGAAAAGGAGGTTACAACTTCAAGAAATTATTTGCCTGAGGTAGAGCTGGAAGTAAACTGTTTCTGAGGACTCATTTTAACAATAAAAATACTTCTTTCTAGTGGGGGTATTTTTGTTAATGAATCAGGACATTTTAAACATCACTTAATTCCTTAGAAATTTCATCGATTTGATTCTATTCACAGGCTTTTCGTGATATTTTACGTGTCTTATCTGCAAATACTTATCTGAGGTAATTATTTCATAGCTGTTTTTAAACCATACTATATTCAGTTATTAAATAACTTACTGTAATATCAGTTTTCCAAATGAATATACATTAAACTTAAGCATTATGATTACAACAGGAAACATGAACCAAACTTAGATGTCTTCTTAAAAAAAAAGACCAAATGTATTATTCTTATGGCTGTCTCTCTTTTATGCATTTGGACTTGTTTTGAAGGGTTTATATTTGTGAATTAACTCAAAGTTTAAATTGATTTAGTTTAATTTTAATATACCACTAGAATTTAAAGTCAGTAAACAGAAGTAAGCTAAAGTTTTATTTTGGCGATTCTTTTTTTTTTTTTTTTAATTTTAAGAAAAAGCATATTTTTTTTTCTGAATATTCATGAAATAACTTTTCCTACATTATTGTTAAAACTGCTTGTTTTATTGCATTTCTTTGTGGTTTTATTAGTCACTAGAATTATGGGATAAACAAATATGAGCAAAATATAACTCAAATCACACTTTGCTATAGGACATGAGAATTGTGAAGAAAACTTCCTTCTGAGGAAAATTTTACCCAGATTACATTTTATATTTGTAGATATGTTCATTAGATGGATTATTTTTAATAAAATTTATTTTAGGACAGCTTTAGATTTACAGAAAAAATTCTGAAGATAGAATAGAGAGTTTCCATGAACTCTGTACCCCATGCTTATATTTTCAGTAAACAGTTTTGTATGGTAGCCAGAAGAGCTAATTAGAATCTTATGGTTGAAATGGTAAACATCTTGTTTGTTGAAATTGTTTCCAAATCAAGAGGGCTAGTAGATCCACTCTACTTTGTTCTGGTCAGATGGAACCTGGGGGAACATGTCTTGACATTCTAAAAAGAATGTTTTTAGAGCCCTGAAAACTGTTCACTTAAGGAATGCATGAAGAGACCTGGGATATTTAATTGAATAATAGAAGATTGAGGGGTACATGGCAGCTGTCTTCAAACATTTGAGAGACATTTGAGAGAGTATAACGTGGAAGATGACAGACTTGAGGGAGCCAATTGGTGGAAGGAAGATACTTAGCTCAAAGTTAGGAGGTCTTTCTTGGCGATTACATTCCTGAAAGTGATGGCTATGGGCAGAATGGCCTTTAAATCACAAAAATAATACAGTTGACTGTTGAACAACATGGATTTGAACTGCATGGGTCCACTTATTTGCAGATTTTTTTCCAATAATAAATACTACACTATTACTAGATCTGTGGTTGGTTGAATCCCGGGATACAGAGGGACCAAGTATATGGAGGGCCAACTATAATTTATACTCAGACTTTCAACTGCGCCCCTCACCTCCATGTTGTTCAGGAGTCAACTATATGCTTATAGTAATACAATCAGAAAAAATAGTATATCAAGAAAAGAGGAAATGTTCCCCTCTCTTCAATGTACTCCTCAATTAGTGCTGATTGTAAGTGGCTTTGTATGTATCATTCCAGAAAACACTTCTGAAAACCCAATGTATTGTTTAAATGGTATTATTCTGTAACTTTTATGTAACAGCGTGTCTTGGGCATCTGCCTAGATCTTCCTCATATGTTGTAGTAGTCTCCACGTTTTATTGTTCAGCATCATGAGTGACTATCATGTAATTAGCCATTCCCACATCAGTGGACATTTAGATTATATTTACCTTTTTGTCATAACAACCAGTGCTATGAGTAATTAACATCCTTGTACACATTCATTTGAACACTTATTTCAGTATTTAAAATATTTAATATTTGAAATATTTGATATGGGACTGCTAGACCATAAGGTATGAATTTTTATAATTTGATGGATACTGAGAACTTATAATGGTGAGAGTGTCCATTTCTCTGCATCTCCATGAACACCACTGTTATTAAACTTATAACATTTTCTAACTGATAGTTTTTTTAAAAGTAACTCATCTTACAAGTCTTTGCCAGTGAAGTTTTACATCTTTCCATAAGTCTGTTGGCTATTCGCATTTCTTTTTGACCATTTGAAAATTGATTTGTGGTGTCTTTTTATATTATAGACAATAATCTTTTGTCTATTATGTCTATAACATAGTTTATTCTAGGATATCAATATATAGTTTATTAATGGTCATTGCTTTATAGAAGTTTAAAATTTGTATACAATCACAACTGTACACTTGCTCTGTTTTCTGTGTTAACTTCTGTGCTTAGAAACACTTCACATCAAAATCATAGAAGTATTTCCCCATGTTCTCTTTCATAGTTTTCATTTTTTGCCAAATAAATATGTGTATATATAAAGTATATAATACAATGATTTGATATACATATATGTTGTAAAGTGATCACCACAACCAAGTTAATTAACACATCCAACACCTCACAGAGTTACCTTGTGTGTGTGTGAGAACACTTAAGGGCTACGCTTTTAGCAGATGTCAAGTATATAATGCAGTATTATTAACTATAGTCACTATGCTGTACATTGCTTCCTCAGAATTCCTTCATCTTAAAACTAAAAGTTTGTACCCTTTAAAGAACATCACGTCATTACCCCCAGTCCCCAGACCCTGGCAACCACCAGTCTACTCTCTGTTCTGAGTTTGACTTTTTTTTGGTCTTTTTTAGATTCCACATATGAGTGATACCATAAAATATTTGTCTTTCCCTGTCTGCCCTGTTTCACATAGCGTAATGCCTTCCAGGTTCATCCATGTAGTTGCAAATGACAGGATTTCCTTGTTTTTTATGGGTGAATAATAATCCATTGCATATATATGCCACATTTTCTTTATTCATAGTTGCCCTAAAACAAATGGACTGCCAGATATTTCTCCAACAAAGATGGGTTTATTGGGGATCAGCAGGGGATTGCACTTTGAGGTTTATAACCATGGTGAGCCACATGCAAGCCCCTGCACAGCAAGGACTTTCATAGAGGGGAAAATGAAGTTGGGAGAGCTATAGTGAACCAAAAAGTCCATGGCTTTTCATTGGCTGAATCCTTGCCAGGAAAGAATAGGAATCCTTCTTCTTCCTGTTGGACTCTGCTGTTGTTACAGGGCATGAAAGTTCCTCCTTCTTGTCTCCAACTCTATTTAATTGAGATTTCTATTTATTATTTTTTTTTACTTTCCCCCTTTTGATCAAGACCTTTCTCTGAAAGCATCATTGATCAAGAGTCAGGTTTTCTAGTTTCAGCAGCTTTTTGTCCCTCAGTGCCAGGAAGGACCTTTCCTGAGTGTAGTGTCTCACATCAGAGGAAAAGTGCACAGATTGGAAACCTATTGAGGTCACATGCGAGTAACAAGGAGGGGTGGGAGGGAGAACTCACAGGCACTTTTTTATCTAAAGTTCATATGTTATCAAGATACTAAATATCTGTGATCATCCGAAGTGTTATGTCATCCTTAAAAGTTTGACGACAAACTTCCAACAGTCCTGGCCTGGATATCCTGGGAAAGCTGTCTCATCAGATGTCATCTACGTCAGTTCTGGGAAATCTTTACTTTCAAGTCACCAGATGATGTGCAGGTCCAGTCAGGGTTCTGTACTTTCTTTAGGTGTGTCACATGAATCCAAGAGTCTGTTCCTTGGATTCTGGTGGCATAAGGGTTGGTTAGCAGTACCTGATAGGGGCCCTTCCAGCAAGGTTGAAGAGAGTTCTTCTAGAGGTGTCTCTTCCAATAGGTAAAATCTCCAGGTTGCAAGGTGTGATGGTTAAGGTTTTTGCCTCCCAAGAGTACACTGTGAAAAAATTGCTCTAATAAAACATGGTTATTTTATTCTGTTTTTTAATGCTAATGTTACAGTTTAATGAACTGTGTTTAGTGCTTTACATAATTGATCTTGTCTAATCTTTGTAAAAACAGTCAGCAAAGTAGACATTATTAGCCCACAGTACAGAAGACAACACTGAGAATGGGATTCTTCTACTCAACTGGCAGGTGGAGATTGAGTTTGATGCCAGATCTGACTACCGAGCCAGTGAGCTTAACTCTTCACTCTGCTGCCTTTCACAGCCATGTGCTTGGGACTTCGGTTCCTGCTTCTTATCTTCACTTCTCCAAAGCAGTCCCTGGGTTTTCAGCTAAATCCCACAGCCAAACCTCTGGTTGACTGAAAAAACGAATCAACCAACAACCAATGGGAAATCATCTTGCAATAGGCCAACGGAGATCTTGACAGGCATTTCATCCAAGATTGAAAAATAACCAAGGGTTGTAAGAATTGGATGTCAGCAACAGAATGACATTTTGAATTGAGACAGTGATTTTAGTTTCTTCATGGGATAATGGTAGAAATTATTCTTAAATAGAACACCTCCTAAGATAATATAGGTCAGTAGTTTTTTGTATTCAGGTTTAAGTGCTTCAGGGAAGGTGCCAGGTGACCATCAAGCATATGACCTGAAGCCATCTCCCCACATCCCTTCACAATAACACTCTAATATTTGGTGGCTATAAGGCATTTTTAATTTGGAATCTAAACAATGTCCTTAACAGAAGCCTGTCTTATTTGCAAGGCTCCCTGAAGAAGACAATGGGTGAACTGCATGCTGCCAATTCTGCTTCTGTGGTCACAGCCCAGACCCTGCCATTGCCTGAAACTGCTCCTTTTAAGAAATCCCACCTGGTATCCACATGCTTGCATTCCTCTTCTCCCTGCTCACTAAATCTGTTTGTTCTTCAGCTGCCTCAAGGCGCCAAGATGACAACTGCTGTAATCTAATCAGCATTCCCGGTTTGCTTTCTGACACAGCCTGGAATCCATGGTCAATCTCTATTATGGTTTCTTATCAAGAATTCTCAACTCCCTGGTTTTTCCTCTGCATATGCTCTATGGTTCACACCTCTCTGTTGGTCTAGCAGTCTCCACTCTCTTCTGCACAGTAGAGATGATTACATAACCTTAATGAATGACAGTGACTCCACCAAAAGATCTGGTTCCTAGCAACTTCTAAGGCTACCAGTGCTACTCTTTAGGTCTATTATTTTAGGTACCTTTCTTTCC